AGACTCGATCGAGCGCTTTCTCTTGCGTTTGAAAACGGTCCGTGACCAATTAGTTCAAGCTGGGGTTAAGGTGTCTGACGATGACTTTATGATTGCTACTCTTAATGGTCTCCCTCAGGAATATGACATGATCAAGACGGTTTTGATTGCAAGGGATACTCCAATTTCCTTGAAGGATTTTCGCGCTCAATTGCTAGCTGCAGAGCAAACTGCAGAAGCTCGATTGGTTCCTCACTCTGCGATGTTTGTTACTCCGTCGTCTTCGTCATATGCTTCTGTGAATGCTATGGGCCTTTCTAATTCTGGTATGGGTTTATTGCCTACTCCATCTTCTTTACCAGTTGCCTATATGGGGTCCTATGATCGGTCTGTTCTGCCTTCATTAGATCGCAATTTTGGTTCAAGACCTGTTCTTGGTAACAATGGTGGTTTTAGTCGTTTTAACGATCATCAACATCACGGTATTGGCAATAGCCAGCACGGAGGTTTTTCTGGTTTTCCTAATCATTCTGGTTCTGGAAGAGGTAGATTTCAAAGCAGAGCCTCTCCTTCATCTTTCTCAGGAAATCGATTTGGTTCCAATTCTTCTCAGAAATCTGCAGTTGTTCCTGAATGTCAGATATGTAGCAAACGGGGTCACACGGCTGCTAATTGTTATTTTCGCCATGAGGCAAGCTCTTCTAGGCATGGGAATCAGGTTATTGAATGTCAAATCTGTGGTAAGAAAGGTCATGGAGCCTTGGATTGTTTCCATAGATCCAACTATGTCTATCAGGGTCAAGCTCCTCCTTCCAACCTTTCTGCTATGACTGCCCAAACTTCCTATGTGCCTGATCAAGTCTGGATTGCAGATAGTGGGGCGTCTCATCACATGGTGTCTGATATTTCCTCATTAAATCATGTTGCTCCTTGTGAATCTACAGAGCAAGTGATTGTTGGTAATGGAGAAGGTTTGAAAATTAAACACATTGGTACTACTGCCATTGCCTGTGCTTCTACTTCTCTTAAACTGCCATCAGTATTTCATGTTCCACAGTTATCTGCTAATCTTTTGTCTGTGCATCAGCTGTGCAAAGATAATAATTGTGTTATCAGCTTTGATGCTTCTGGTTTTGTGATACAGGATCGAGTCACCAAGACAATCCTCCTAAAAGGTCGGAGTAACAATGGATTGTATCCAATTCCCTCTGCTGTATCCTCTCATTGCTTGTCCAAGAAAGTAGCTTTGCTTGGTCAACATGTTAAGTCTTCCATTTGGCATCACAGACTTGGCCATCCAACGAATGAAGTGGTGCAATCAATGCTTAAAGCCTCTGGTTTGCAGTGTGCAAATGACTCTTCAAATTCGAATTCGAATCCCTTGTGTTCAGCTTGTCTTCAAGGGAAGATGCATCGGCTTCCATTTCCTATTAGACATAGTAGGTCTGAAATTCCTTTTCATACAGTTCATAGCGACGTATGGGGACCTTCTCATTACAAATCTGTTGAGGGTTACAGATATTTTGTTTCCTTCCTTGATGAATGTACCGGATATTTGTGGGTTTATCCCCTTTTCAATAAATCAGAAGTTTTCTCCAAATTCCTACAGTTTCATGCTTTGATACAAAATCAATTCAGTGCTGCTATTAAGTGTTTTCAGAGTGATGGTGGTGGTGAGTTTCTTAGCAAGGTTTTTACAGATTTTTTGGCTTCTAAGGGAATTGTGCGTCGTTTGTCCTGCCCTTATACTCCGCAGCAGAATGGACTGGCAGAGCGGAAGAATAGGCATATTATTGAATCAGCCATTACCCTGTTAACTGCAGCAGCCTTGCCAGGTCAATTTTGGTTTCATTCCACTGCTCATGCTGTGTATCTTATAAATCGAATGCCCAGCTATGTTTTACATAATCAGTCTCCTTATTTTCGTTTATTTGGCCATCATCCTGATCTTGCTTCTTTGAGAATATTTGGTACTGCGGTATATCCGTATCTGAGACATTATAATGTGCATAAGTTACAACCGCGAACCACTCAGTGCGTGTTCTTGGGATATTCACCTGGTTACAAGGGAGTTATTTGCTACAATCGAATTACTGCAAAATGTGTAATCTCAAGGCATGTTCTTCATGATGAAGCTATATTTCCTTTTAAGCAAATTAACCCTGGTATATGTGGGCAGTCTTCTCAGTTTTCTTCTACTGCATCAGTGGCTCCTGTCATTATTTCTCTGCCTTCAAGGCCTTATCAAGCTTCTCTTAATGCTCAAGATCCATCGTCTCTAGCCTCTGATACACAAGTATCTACTTCTCAGTCTCAGTCCATCTCATCTACTCATGAGTCTTTATCTCCCATCCAACATCAAGCATCGTTGGATGATATTCTGGTGGCTTCTACAGGTTCTGTACCTGTGTTGAATGAACAACAATTACAGGTTATGTTTCCGTTTGAGGTCTCTGATGCTTCCTCTTCTTCTGTTAGTACTCAAGACTCATCGGTTTCTTTATTTCCTATCAATAATCATTCCATGATTACTCGGGCCAAAAATGGTATAGTTCAAAACAAACAGTTTCCAGATTATCAAGGTTATTTTACATGTCTTCATGCTATTCCTGAATTAGATGAGCCTTCTAGTTTTAAGGTGGCCTCGTTTTCTTCTGAGTGGAGGCAGGCTATGAAAGAGGAGATTGATGCTCTTCATATGCAAGGCACATGGCTTTTAGTTCCTAATCCAGGTGATAAAAATATTATTGGCAGTAAGTGGGTTTATAAAATAAAGAGAAATCCAGATGGTACAGTGGGTAGATATAAGGCTAGACTTGTTGCTCAGGGGTTCAGTCAAGAGCCTGGTTTTGACTTTGGGGAAACCTTCAGTCCTGTTGTTAGACACACAACAGTGAGGTTAGTATTAAGCATAGCTGCTATGAACCAGTGGAAACTACGACAACTTGATGTCAAGAACGCTTTCCTACATGGCGATCTTGAAGAAGAAGTTTTTATGAAACAGCCTCTTGGTTTTGAAGATTCTACTCATCCACAGTTTGTATGTAAACTGAAAAAATCTTTGTATGGTCTTAAACAGGCTCCAAGGGCATGGAATGCCAAATTCACAGGTTACTTACCTACTCTTGGCTTTAAATCTTCACATTCTGATCCAAGTCTGTTTGTGCAGCATACTGAGAATGACATTATGATTTTACTCTTATATGTTGATGATATCATTATAACAGGTTCTAGTGATCAGTTGATTCAAAGAGTGGTTACAGACTTAAGTGAGGTGTTTGAAATGAAAGATATGGGGCAGCTCACCTTTTTCTTAGGTCTGCAAATTTCCTATAATTCCTCTGGTGACATATTCGTGAGTCAAACTAAGTATGCCAAGGATCTACTACATAAAGCTGGCATGAGTTCATGTAGAGCTTGTGCAACACCTTGTAAGCCACACACTCAAGTGTTACAGACTGATGGTGAGCCCTTGGCAGATCCCACTATGTTTCGCAGTCTAGTAGGTGCTTTACAGTATCTAACATTTACAAGACCTGATCTGGCCTATGCTGTGAATCATGTGTGTCAATATATGAATAATCCTACTGAGGTTCACTATTTTTTGGTGAAGCGTATTCTCAGATATGTACAGGGTACATTAGAATATGGAATCAGTTTTACAAAGGGTCCTTGGCAGCTTAATGCATACAGTGATGCAGATTGGGCAGGGGATATCAATACTAGAAGATCTACAACCGGATCTGTGGTATTCTTGGGTAGTAATCCTATCTCCTGGCAGTCCAAGAAGCAAGGTTCTGTGTCTAGGAGTTCAACAGAGGCAGAATACAGGGCCTTAGCAAACACAGCTGCTGACTTGTCATGGATTCGACAGGTTCTCTTGGATCTGAAGATGTTTCTGCCAAATGCTCCTCTTATGTATTGTGACAACTTATCAGCACTGGCTTTAAGCTCAAACCCAGTTTACCATTCTCGAATTAAGCATTTGGATATAGACTTTCACTTTGTGAGAGAGAAGGTACAAAGAAAGGATCTTATTGTCCAGTATATACCTACTGAAGAACAAATAGCAGATGTTTTTACAAAGGGGTTACACAGTCCCATTTTCTTACAACACTGTCTTCATCTTAGACTGAGGAGTTCAGCTGGGTAGGGAAAATGTTAACCATGTGTTTCAGTTAAGAAATTGTTAAGTCATCATGTGCAGCTCACGTGCTCTCTGTTAAGTCTGTTAGTGAGAGTTAGCTGTATTTGTTAAGTCTGTTAGCGTGATGTTAGGAGATAAGTACTGTACTAAAGCTGAGCTTTTATAATTCCTATTAATCAAGATCTAAAATACAGAATATACAGCTATTTTCCTTCTTGCTTCCTCTCTACCTTCTTCTATGGAAATCCCTAAATCTCATCCTCTTCTTCTTGTTAAGACGTACACCTGCTCGATTTGCTTGCCTAGTTGGCCTGCCTCATCCTCAGCCTCTTTCAGGTAATTCGCAGAACACCATGCCCTCATCGTCATTGTTTCAAAAACTGCGCGCCTCTTTTAGTTTTCAGTTTTGATTTTTGTTGAAGAAAAGGGAGAAATGAGGGAAGGAATGGTGAAAAGAGAGGGTGGCGGGAAAGATATAGAAGAAATGTACATGGATAACATACAAAATGAAAACTAAGAACTGAAAACAATTTTAAGTAAGTTCAATTTTGTATACCGAAACATGTAAATTCGCCTTTGTAACAAAAAAGTGAAAACTAAAAATAAAAGTTATCATTCTTGCAAAAATTTTGGCAATTTGAGCCATAATCTTTGACGAATGCCTGAAAAATAGACATACAATGCGTGATGGAGCCTACAAGGATGGGATCCATCAATTGAAGCTATGTTATATATAATTATTTGAGCCATCTCTCAAAAGAATGAGATTGTATACATACTTATACATACTACATATACAAAGCCATATTTTAAGGGAGTGGGAAATCAAATATAGAATTAAGGATGTAGGGAATCCACCAAAAAACTAGGGAAAGGTCTTGAATTTTTTGGATAATATGATAAAAATGACGACTACACTCAACTCTCTAAAATAATAAACATAAAAACCCTAGAAAATCTAATTATTACAAATTATTCTTAAAAATATAGAATCACAACGAACAACTGCTTAATTACAAATAAAATAAACGAAACATAAAAGATTGCTTGGCTTTTCCAACACCAAACACATGGCTTGAGCGTATCTTGTCAACTACCTGCTTCTTAATAATTTTGCACTTGCATCACTCAAGCTGGGACATTCTTGAACAGGGAGGTACTGGAGTTCAATGAGAAGCTTCAAACCTGGTGGCAATATATCTAAATTAGGACAAGCAGGATTTGTTCCTCAAGCCATTCTGGAAAAGTTGCAAAGATATATTGCAGTGACTGTACAAGTAAACAAATCAAAAAGGTTTTTGTATCCAAGTCTGCCAATTTATTAAAGAACAGAGGCCGAGGAGAAGATTTTGTGTCTTTGAGAACCCAAGTTCCTATTTTTTTTCTTTCCACCGAAAATTTTCTAATCTAAATTTCAGTTCTTCATCTGGGTTTTATCCCTTTAGTTTATTTTAGAAACAAATTATTTCTTGTTCTTAAGACTTAAAACCTGGGCAATGTGTTCATGTATGGACAGTAAAATAAAATGACATATAACCTTGCTTTTAAACTAATTGTATATGGCTGCTTTGATGTGTTCTTAACTAATATTGAAAGAGCCATATTACTACTTGTTCTCATCCCGTTTCGTAACTCAGAAAACTATACTTTGTTCACCTCTTCCCATCAAAACAAAAGTGTCCACTAATAACTTTCAGAAAAAGTGTCCTCTACAGAGATTTTATTAACATGATATCAACAGAAAATCAGAGGATTCTCAAAGCAGCTTTGTATGCAAACATATGAAATTCTACAACTGAAGGAATATTAAAACTTTGTGGTCACTCTATCCATCTAAACAAACAATATGAAGGAAAGGAAAAAAAAGGCACACAAACACCAGGAGAAAGGAGTTACCATGATGACAATGAAACAGAAGTTGCTTATTGAGAAGCTGTTTGAACAGAAGAGCTGCCCGATGTGCTTGCTTCACTGGACTGGCTGACCTGAGGTGATCCAACGTACTTATGTGGGACATGTGCTATTTTCAACCAATCCTCACCACTTCCTGGTCTACATCTTTGCTCGAGCTCAGGACATTCTTGAATAGAGAGGTGTTGGAGTTTTGTGAGAAGCTTTTGACCTGGTGGCAGTACTTTTAAATTAGGACAATCAGATATGGTCAAAGATCGAAGCGAAGCAAGATTCCCAAACCATTCTGGCAAAGCTGTTAGATTAGGGCAGCTAATAATTTCCAAGCAGTGCAGCGTCGGGACATTTTGTAACCCATTTGGCAGAGCATCAAACCAAGGACAGCTCAAGATAGTCAAACTCCGAAGAGAGGAGAGGTGTTGCACACCCTCTGGGAAAGAACCAAGATTTTGACAATTCATAATGCTCAAGTGTTCAAGGAATGTGAGATGCTCCAAACTTGATGACAGAGAAATCAGATTACTGCAGCTCTCAATGAACAAAGTCCGAAGGGAACATAAACTTCCAATTCCACCATCTGGCATGGACATAATACTGTGACAACCACTAATCTCTAGTGAGTGCAGAGATTTGAGGTTTTGCAAAGTCTGTGGAAGAGAGGACAGCTGTTCACAACAACGAATGGTTAATGATTTCAGAGAAGTAAGGTTTCCCATCTCTGAAGGAAGTAAATGAAGCTTGGGGCAACACAAGATCTCCAGAGAAGACAGATGAGCTGATGCAAAAAACCCTTCTGGGAGACAGGACAGCTCTGGAATTTTTTCTATAACAAGCACAGAAAGGAGAGTTAAATTTGCTGTGGACATTGATGTTGGATTACAATCCCGCAGCTCCAAATGTTGAAGTGACTGACATAAGGGTATATGTGCTAACTTGGGACAACTTTTGACAGTTAATTTCTTCAATCTAGGGAATGCATTTCCATCATTTGCACTTGACCACTCCTCTAAGTTCGCAAAATCACTGATTGATAGTTCTTCAAGTGATGGAAACCGTATGTCTGCCCCATCACCATAGAACTCTGTACCAATGCATCTCACAGCATCCATTCGATGCAGAGAAACAGTCTTAAGTAGCAGCAAACTTCCAAGGGCAGGAAGATGTTCACAATTTCTACAATAGGCCAAATGAAATGAAACTATATTAGGTAGAGCCCAACGAGGAAATTTGATTCCTGGATACTCATGTATAACTAGAATTTTCAGATTATTGTGTGGCTGCAGGCCTTCAAGAATTTCTTCGGCCACTCTAGCATCAGGTTCATGCTGTTTTGGACCTATGTTTGATCCTGAGATGTCTAATTTATGTTGGGCTTTATGTAGTTTCGTGAATGAATCGTCCAAACCTTCAAATCCCTGGTATAGTCCCCAGTATAATCCCAACAACTCAAGATTTTCCTTCGTCTTCAATCCAGCAGAATGTGCTATGGATGCATTTCTAACTCTCCCCAACTGTATAATATTTAACTTTCCATAAAGATTTAAATGTTGCAGAGCTCCCAGACTCCTATTCAAATTGAACTCAATGGCACTGTAGGAATGCATGATCTCCCAGCTAACAACAAATAATGGCAATGTCTGAAGTTGGTGTAACCTTACAATACCAGTACACATCCAGTCCAAACTTTGGCATCCAGTTATATTGAGATGTCTTAGGTCAGTCATGCCTCCTAAGAAAGGCAAGCGCCTAAGATTATGACAACCAAAAAGGTTTAAAGTCTGCAGAGCACAAAGCTTGCTTGTGCTTCCAGGTAACAGACGAATAGGTGTGTAAGAGACGTCAAGATACCTCAAGCATATCATAATACCCAACGATTCTGGTAAATTGTAAACAGTGCAGCTGCTCAGATCCAGCGAACGCAAGTAAACAAAAGTCGAAAACATTTTTCCAATGGATCTTAATGAGCCGAATTCTCCAATCAATAGGAGAGTTCGTAAATGTTTTTCCTCATATAGAGCTTCTGGAATTGTAATTTCTCCATACGTATAAACCACAGAGGAGTGGCGAATTTGTGCTGGTCCATTTGGTGGAGCACCCTGTTCAAGTATCACATATTCCTTTCCTGCAACATATCGTGCAAGATCATGAATGACATCATTCATTTTGTATCCAGTTATACTGACACCCTCACATAACTCTACTTCTTGAAAGAAAGACATCCACAACAAATCAGCAAAGTAGTCTTCACCGATGTCTTCTGGTCGCTTGCTTCCTCCTTGTAGAATTAATCCTTCTGCCATCCATAGATAAATTAACTTCTTCTTCTTGAATTCATAATTTCTCGGAAAGATTGAGCAGAATGCAAAGCACTGTTTAAGATGTGATGGGAGATGAATATAACTCAACATCAGGGCGGGTAAAACTTTATTTTGGCATGCATCTAGTTTCCAGAGATCACTATTTTGCATAAACAACCACTGCTGCTCCTCTCTTTTAAAGCGCATTAAACTTCCCAAACTTTTTACTGCTAATGGCACACCTCCACATTTTTTAACTATTTGCTTTCCAATTGACAAAAGCCGGGGATACTTCTCTTCTTCAGTTCGCCCAAAAGCCCGTTGCTTGAACAAGGCCCAGCAATCATCCTCTGCTAAACCCTTCAAATAAAATGGGGAATTTGGGGAGTCTGTCATGAATGCGGTTTTTGTATTGCGGGTGGTGACAATGATTTTGCATCCATCAACACCCCCTCTGAACAAAGGTCGTAGTTTGTCCCAATCATCATGGTTTTCAGTCCAAATATCATCTAACACAATGAGATATCTTTTATTGTGCAACAAATTCCAAATCCGAGACTGAAGTAGGTCAATCTCGGACAACTTGCATTCATCCTTAGTTGCAGACTCAATAATTGCTTTCATGATCTTCTTAACATTGAAATCATCAGAGACAAAAATCCACATCCTAATATCAAAGTGGTGGATTACCCTGTCATCATTATATCCCAATTGAGCAAGAGTGGTCTTACCAATTCCTCCAATACCAAATATTGAAATACATGTTGCATATCCTTCCTGGCAAGCTTCAGAAGATATTAACAGTTTGACCAACTTCTCTTTGTCATCTTCTCTTCCACATATCTCTGACTCAATGACAAAAGAACTTGTCTCTCTCATGGTAGTTCGACCATCTGCCATACTAGGCGCTTTAAAATTAAACTCACTGAGCCCCTCATTTATAGTTGCTTCTAATGCCCGGAGCACTGCACCAGTTTGGGTAGCATGCATAAGGTCTCCAAGTTGAAAATTCATCAGACCTGGTCTCCTGTCTTCAAAATCGCTCCCACCTCTCATTCTTTTAGCAGTCAAGTAGTGCAGATCGTCCTCAGCATCATAAGCTGCATTCTTGAGCTTTGACAACCAAAGTCTGACAGCTCTGCTGGTGAATTGTTGATCTTCTGCATCTTCAAGAGTAGCTTGAGCCCGCTCCACGGCATGTTGTAGGCCGCGGAAGTTGTCATCAAAACCCAAGAAATCAGCAGCCTTTTGTAGGACTGGGGATGCCAGTCTGTCAAAGATCACTTGCAAAGCAGGGGATAAAACTATGTTTGCTGCTTCCATTTCTTGCAGCAACAAAATTCCAATTCAGCTAAAACAAGGCTGACAACAGTGAGATGAGAATTGTTGGAGTTGGTCTGAAAATACAAGTGGAAGTTCAATTTGGTTGATCAACCCATGAAGCCTAGACTTTAGAGAAGCCAGGAAAGTTGACTTCATGTCAACACTTTTCAGCCATGGGTTTGTAAAACTAGTACTTTACATGCTATAATTACACAAATACCCTTGTGTTTAGCGTTTTTATCAAAATGAACCCCACTTCATGATAAACCACAATGCCAATGCCAGAGCTTTGAACTTGATTTCATCTTCTCTTCGTTAGTTAATGGTCCATTAGATGCTAACCTCAACAAAATTAAGCACATTAAAAATAATAATAATAATAATAATAATAATCATCAGGAATATATCCCAACCCGACATCCAAAATTGATAAGCTCTTCGAGCAAAAAAAATATATTATTGATTTCTGAGAGATTAGAAAAAATTAAAAATTACCCCCATCGTCCTCTTCCTCAGAGAAGAAGCATATCGATTGTACCACCGAGACGCATTCACATAAACCGATGATGGAGGCTTTGAAAGAGCCGAATGTACGGTGAGAGATCATCCTTTTAAAGCCATTGCGAGTAACAAAGTACTGATCCAGTTCCTTGAGGCCACTGGCCGAGGTTTTTCTGCAACCCATATGAAGAAAAGTAAAAATAAAATTAAATAAAGGTTTTTCATCCATGGACGAGTAACTAATTGAAGCTGTAAAAACAGAAACTTGACTTTAAACACACATTTTGGCACACATGCATTGAAGGAGCTTCCTACCCAGTTAACTTTTAATGGCTAACCATATGACACATGGGGAACATAATGATAATGGTGATGTGATGAACATGTAAAATTAGCCCATCAAAGAAAAATGAGACAGAGTTATATTGAGACTTCTGCACAAGACCCCATCAAAGAACCAACCTTGAAACTCAGGATACAACATACAATTAGAAATGGGGGAACAAAAGGAAAAAGAAACAAAAACTTTCTTATATTCCATGCATTGACAGAAAATATAAAAATAGAATTAAAATAGAATTAAAAATATGCAAGACTCTGGTATGATGAAAAGAATTAGCACCCCCTGCTACTTTTCCTGAAACAAATTTTAGCAGACCAGTTTTTGACACCTTCAAGGAATTGTGAGTTCACTGGAGTGAAAAATCAAGCTTTACACTATTTTTCTCCCTATACTACACTACACTTCATCTTCAGTTGTGTAACAAGAGTTGATCCGTCAACATCTTGTGATTTAATTGCAAAACCGTTCTCTGTTTCTAAGCCACTATGTGAAACTCCTTCCTCTTCTGTACGCTCAGACCGTTGGAGCTCACTGTTTTCGGGATTTGCTTCATCCGCGTCCCCCTCAATTGTCAAGATATAAGAACCATCTTCCTTGGTTGCCCCCCATGATTCGCCTTCTAATGACATGGATGGAACGGGTACCGCGTCATCAATAAATCAGCAACTCTCACCTTGTCAAGCAAACCCATTAGTTATATATATCATCCTTTCCTACTGCATGCAAACCGAGAATATATACATTGAGCCAATTGTAAAAATAACATAGTAATTCAAGTAGCTTAACTTGAAGTTGCAAGAAGTTAACATCTTGAAACTGTCCTCCACCATGACTATACATGAGATTACAATGAGAACTAGGGGGAAAGGAATGCATGTTAGCAGAACCAAATGCACAGTTCATGTGAGTTCAGAAATCGAATTCTAAATAGAAAAATCACTCAAAGAGAGTGTTGTGAATAATTTATGAATGATGTCTTGATAAAATCGGGCCTCAGCTTAACTTAACATAGCTTTCTCATAATGTTTAGGATCTCTTTGGTCTCAAACATTAAGTAGATGATCATATCCATTTAAAATGCTTGTCATTCTTGAAAGATCGGTTTATCAACAAACATCTCAAAATGAAAAGCTAATATAATTTTCAACCAGGGAAAGGAATAGGTAACTTGCAAGTACCTGCATAGGCTTCAGACTATTAAATTCTCTATCATCAGTTTTGCTCACTCCTTTTTGAGGTTGCAGCTCCATAGAATCACGAAAGAGCTGACGGAGAAAGTTCACATCATCAGACATAACTCCAAGCCCTTTCAAAAGCTTAGAGCCCAGCTGCAAACTTGTCTGCATGAATTAAAATATTTAGTCAGGTACAAGTTGCATCATAAAAAGACTTGTCAAATTCAATAATTCAAACAAACGCAATCAATTAATCTGATACCTCTGCACTTTCCAAAACAGCATCTGTTGCACCTGCTTTCTTCAGATCTAAAAGGTGCTTGAGATGCAGAGCTCTGGCATAAATTGGGACCTGCAAATTTAGAATTTTCGCCACAAAATTGACATTCAAACCATGGAGGAAGATTTTGGCCTTGATTTGGTTCGGGTTTGTCACTGATTTTTTCTGTGTTTTTTTTAGAGAGGGTTTGGCATTGATTTAGTTGTATCTGTTAAAAGGTTTTGGTCTTGATTTGGTTAATATGTTTTTCTTGTAATGTTTTGGTGGATATCTTGTTTTAGCCCAATATTGGACGACACTGATTGTACGTATTGAAGAACATGATTGATATTTGCAAGAATGTTTCTGTCAGATGACAAGTATTGACTAGGAAACCCCCAAGCACCTTCATCAGTGACAAGGAAAAATCAAGCACCGTCATCTTTTTGAAAAAATTTGTCTGATTCTTCCCCATTTTTTCAGTAGCATTTAGTTCATTCCTACTCTTGTCCTTTTTTTGTTTTTTTCTTCAGAGCTGATTTTCTCACTCTTGTTTTGTCTATTTACACTCTATTTGTTCAATTGTATGTTCTCACTCCTCTTTTGTCCATTTACACTCCCTTTTTTGTTATAATAAAAAGTATTAAAAAAACAAAAAGGAGTGTAAGTGGACAAAAGGTGAGTGGAACCCAAAATCTGTCCTTGTTCTTGGCTAGAGCCTTAAGGACCCCATGTTTGGCTAGGAAAGCAAAGAAAAATCACTACTTGGGGACCTAAAACCACAAAAAAAGGTAGTTGATCTGCTGGTTTCTCCTGTCTCAGTACCATCAAGCTAGGAGAAGAAGCAGAGCAAAATAAAACAATTTTGCTGGACATTTTATTAACTGAAAATTTTAAAAATACTGTTACATTTGTAATTCCACTAAGCTTTTCAATAGATTAAAACCCTGATAGTAGTTAATCTTGACGATGAGGGCAAGGTGTACTAGGAATTACCTGAAAGAGGCTGAGGCAGGCCAACTGGGCAAGCAAATGGCAATGCTCTTTGGTTGCGGTGAATTATGGCTTGAGCTAGCAGCAACTAAAGTCAATGCTATTCTTCCTTGTTCAAGTTTGTCTTTGTGATTCATTAAAAAGAAACTGATGTATTGGTTGATACTTTAAATTTGCCCGTTAACCTCTTGTTTAGAAAATTCAGCATTTGAACTATTTTTAAAAGTCAATTTCCGCCCTGCTGTTAGATTTCATCACATTCCATCAAAGGCTAAAGCCAAACAAGCAACAAACTAACCACAGATAAATCTGGACCTAAACGAACCCACCTTAGATTTTGAAGCAACAAAGATCCAACGAATTGTTCCAAAACATATAACACTCACATTCCGAAGCAGAAACTATTCAAAATTTGCATTTGATGAGGGCATGTCACATCTTTTGGTGACTCTGCTGCTGCATTGCAAATTTGCATTGGCAACTATCAAGCAAAAATCTACAACAATGCAATATGACTAAACATTATTCAATACAAAAATAAACAGAATCAAAATTCAAAAAGACAAGTAACATAGAAATTTTATTAATGTTGATATCCATACAATACAAACTCAGAGGATTTTCAAAACAGCCCTGTACATAGAAATACAGAAATCCACTATAAAGATAAAAATAATAAAGCACACCACAACAGTGACAACACCAGGAGGAATGATCTACCATAATGATATATAATAGCTTGTTAATGACAAGGAAATAGAAGTGTCTTACTGAGAAGATGCTTGGACAGAAGAGCTGCCAGATGTGCTTGCATCGCCAGACTGCCTGACCTGAGGCGATCCAATGTACTTATGCGGGACATGGGCTATTTTCGACCAATCCTCACCGCTACCGCGTCTACATCTTTCCTCAAGCTCAGGACATTCTTGAATAGAGAGGTGCTGGAGTTTAGTGAGAAGCTTGAAACCCGGTGGCAACAGTTTTAAATTAGGACAATCATATATGGTCAAAGATCTAAGAGAATCAAGATCCTCAAACCATTCTGGCAAAGCTGTTAGATTGGAGCAGCTACTAATTTCCAAGCAGTGCAGGGTCTTTACATTTTCCAACCCTTCTGGCAGAGAATCAAACCAAGGACAGCTCAGAACGATCAAACTTCGAAGGGAGGAGAGGTGTTGCACACCGGCTGGAAAGGAACCAAGCTTTGGACAGTACATGATGGTGAAGTGCTCAAGCAATGTGAGCTGCTCCAAACTCGACGACAGAGAAGTTAGTTTACTGCAGTTTTCAATGGACAAAGTTCGAAGCGAAGCCAAACCTGCAATTCCACAATTTGGAAGGGATGTTAGACTGTGACAGTCACTAATCTCCATTGACTCCAGAGCTTTAAGGTTCTGCAAACTTTGTGGCAGAGAGAACAACTCTCCACACCAACGAATGGTCAATGATTTCAGAGAACTAAGGTTTTGCATATGCAAAGGCATTGAATGAAGCTTGGGGCAAGACAAAATCTTCAAGGAAGACAGTCTAGCTGATGCAAAAAGCCCTTCTGGGAGAGACACTAGTTCTGGAATTTTGTCAAGAATAAGCACAGATAGCAAACTTAAATCTGCCATGGGCATCATCCTAGGATTACAATCTCGCAGCTCCAAATGTTGAAGGGACTGAGGTAACGGTATACGTGCTAACTTGGGGCAACTCTTTACAGTTAATTTCTTCAATCTAGGGAATGCATTTCCATAATTTGCACTTGAACACTCTTCCAACTTTGCAAAATCACTAATTGATAGTTCTTCGAGTGATGGAAACCATATGTCAGTGCTGTCACCATAGAACTCTCTACCAATTCTCACAACGCCATGCATTCCATGCAAAGAAAGCATCTTAAGTAGCGGAAGATTCCCAAGGGCTGGAAGATGTTTACAACTTCTACAGTTGGTGAAATCAGCGGCAATAAGATTTGGGAGAGCCCAATCAGGAAATTTGGTTCCTGGATATCCATTTATAACTAGCTTTTTCAGATTTTTGTGTGGTTGCAGGCTTTCAAGTTGCGGCGCTATATGTGATCTCGAGACACCTACTTCAGGTGGGGCATTAGGTGGTTTGGCGAATGAATCTTTAAATCCCAGAATAGAACCCCAGTATAATCCCAATGACTCAAGATTTTTCTTCATATGCAGTTTTGCTAAAGAAGCAACTTTAAGATTCTCCAAGCCAGTAATATTCAACTCACCATAAAGATTTAAACATTGCAGCTCAATACTCCTCGCCTTCTTCGACACAACAAAAAGTGGCAATGTTTGAAGTTGAACTAACAATCCAATTGTAGAAGGCATACCAGTCAAACGCACACATCCACTTAAGTTAAGATGTCTTAGGTTTAATCCCAAAGAAGGCAAAATCTCAAGATTATTGCAACCAACTAGGTTTAAGGTCTGCAAAGAAAAGAGATACTTCATGTTTTCAGGTAACTGGGAGATAAGCGTGTAAGACAAGTCAAGATACCTCAAACACATGAAGCCACCCAAGGATTTAGGCACATCAACAGGATCACAGTTGTTGAGATCTAGCACACGCAAGTATTCAAAACTTGAATAAATTTTATCTATGTTTAAGAAGCCGGAACCACCGATCAATAAGAGAGTTCTCAAATGTTTTGCCTCATATAGAGTTTCTGGAATTGTAATTGCACCATATGTATAAACAACAGATGCGTGGCGAATCTCTGCTGGTGACCAATTTTGTGGCCGACCCTGTTCAAGTACCACATATTCTTTTCCTGCAACATATTGTGCAAGATCATGAATGATATCGTTCATCTTGTATCCAATTATTTCTCCACCTTCATGTAGCCGTACTTCTTGTAAGAAAGATATCCACAACAATTCGGAAAAGTATTCCTCACCAATGTCTTCAGGTCGCTTGCTTCCCTCTTTTGGAATGAAGCCTTCTGCCATCCATAGATGAATTAACTTGTGCTTATTGAACTCATATTTTTTGGGAAATAGTGAACAGAATGCAAAGCATTGTCTAAGATGTGGTGGTAGACTTAACATCAGGGCAGGGAAAACTTTATGTTGGCTTTCATCTAATTCCCAGAGTTCACAATCTCGCATAAATAACCACTGTTTTTCTTCTCTTTTCAAGCGCATTGAGCTTCCCAAACTTTTTGCAGCTAACGGCACACCTCCTACTTTTTTGATAATCTCCTTTCCAATCCGTGTAAGATTTGGATACTTCTCTTCTTCTCCGCGTCCAAATGCCCGGTGCTTGAACAAAGACCAGCAATCATCATCCTTCAAACCATTTAAATAAAATGGTGAATTCGGGAAGTCCAGCATGAATGGAATTTTTTGACTGCGGGTAGTGACAATGATTTTGCAGCCATCAAGACCCCCTGTAAGCAAAGGTATTAGATTGTCCCAATCATCCTGGTCTTCAGTCCAAACATCATCTAACACAATCAGGTATCTTTTCTTCTGTAGCAATTTCGAAAGCCGAGACTGAAGTATTTCAATCTCCGACAACTTGCATTCATCCTCTGTTGCACACTCAATGGCTGTCTTCATCATAATCTTCTTGACATCGAAATTGACAAGTTCTTTGAGCAAAAAAATATATATACTATTGATTTCTGAGAGATTGCCTTGTTTTCTTGATAATGGTGATGTGAATATATCCCAACCCAACATAACGATAATGTTGATGTGATGAACATGTAAAATTAGCTCATCAAAGAAAAATGAGACAGTTATATTGAAACTTCTGCACAAGACCCCATCAATGAACCAACCTTGAAACTCAGGATACAACATACAATTAGAAAGAGGGAAACAAAAGGAAAAAGAAACAAAAACTTTCTTATATTTCTTGCATTGACAGAAAATATAAAAATAAATAGAATAAAATATATACAAGCCTGTGGTATGATAAAAAGAATTAGCACCCCCTGCTACTTTTCCTGAAACAAATTTTAGCAGACTAGTTTTTGACACATTCAAGGAATTGTGAGCTCCCTGGAGTGAAAAATCAAGCTTTACACTATTTTCCCCCCTATACTACACTACACTTCATCTTTAGTTGTTACACAAGAGTTTGATCCGTCAACATCTTGTGATTTAATTGCAAAACTGTTCTCCGTTTCTAAGCCACTATGTGAAACTCCTTCCTCTTCTGTATGCTCAGACTGTTGGAGCTCACTGTTTTCGGGATTTGCTTTGTCCACATTCCCCTCAATTGTCAAGATATAAGAACTATCTTCCGTGGTTGCCCCCCATGATTCGCCT